ATAGTGCTAGATGTTGGGCTTTCAGGAAGAGCTGAGAATCTTCTGGAGTGCTAACTAATGTTTATAAACACTTCAGGACATCTAGTTGCTAATATAGCCACATCGGGAAACAAGTTCCTAAACTGCAAAGGCAGAATTACAACTAGAATCAAACATCTGGTGAGAACTGGATAAATTGCCTAGAAGAACAATCAAGATTTAGTCCACACTCAGACACAAAAGTCCCCAACCTTTTAGAAACCATCAGAAATAGTTAACATTTTAAGAGTGCATCATAAGAAGACCAAAAGCTAAAGGTCCACAGTGGTTAGGATGTTTCCTCATACCTGCTTTAATCCCCCAGAATAGATAATATTAATTCAATACATCTTTACTTTTTTGTAAGAGAGAGGTAGATAAATTTACAAAGTAATAATGAGGATATGGTCACTCACAAGGTTTATTTTCAAATCCTTTGTGTTGTGTGTGTGCATATATCTCCCAATTAGTTTTGATTTTTGGATTACAAACAAGTTTATTTCTCAGCAATACTTTCAGAAATGATTTGCCACTGCCTTTTTTCCAGGGCTGAAAGAAACTGGCTAGGCCAAAATCAGGGTTTTGTCCCTAAGGCTGAACTAGAATTGAATGTCTCCCAGTTTTTTTACCCTAGTACCTTTAACCCCTACATCAAAATGCCTCTCAAGACTATTAGGTCTATATATAATCCAGTAGTGTTCTTGGAAATTCAGATAGTCACACTTTCTTTTGCTGTGTAACTGCTTCCTTCTATTATATTTACAATTAAAGTAGCATTTGCATGTATTGAAAACAGACTGGGGTAAATGGCCTAGGAAGTACCAAAAGAACTGTGCCTAAAGCAGCTAAAATGTTATATATGGATGAACCTACAAACATACTTGAAAAACACATTATGCTCTCCCTAATTGTCCAGTTAGCCAAGTATTGACAACTCTTTCTTCTCATCACAATCTTTTAATTGTAGATATCAAGTGTTAATCTAGTACTTCATGTAAGACATGTACCAAGCTATGATCCCTTCCTTTTGCAGTTTAGGCTATGATTGACTGGACTTCTATGTAAGCCTCTATTGAAACTATTTGATCCCAGGCATGAATGGATCTTAATGTAGAAAATGGGCAGTTAATTTGATCTGGAATCGTTTGGAAGCAGTAGTTATCTTATAGAATAGACTGTCAACATAATAGATCTTGAACCAAAGTTTATTGAAGAAAACAGGAATATGGCTGAAATGAGAGACAGTGTATTATAGCTTTCTATATCCTCCTTGACAATGGAGCTTTTTGTGAGTGCCAAATGTTTTTGGAAGTCTAGCTGAACCAGGGAAGCCATTGTTGTGGAGATAATCTTCTTCTATCCTCTACCTTATAAGCAGTAAACGTGTTCTGAAAACATAAAAGGGTAGTATTATTATTGTAACTATTTTGGAGAAAAGTATGTTATTGAAAATGTCTGGCATGACTTCAGAAGCATAATTGTCTTTCTTTTTGTTGTGATCCACTTTCCCTATTACACAACTTTTCCCCCCCTCTTCTCCATTTTGATCATAATGTTTGGTCTTTCCTTCAGAAGAAGGGCCTTTTTATGTGGCAAAGAGATTTGTTACTTCAATTTTTTACACTTGGTTTTGTAGACTAGCAGCTTCTTTTACTGCACACAGAGACCCTCCAAAACCGTGCAGGCCAAAGCAATTTACTTTTCTATTACTGATTATTTGTCAAAAAGCAAGCCTACCATTGGAATAAGGTAAGAATAAAGAGAGAAATCATTTTGGAAGGGGAAAAAAATAAACATATTGACACCCCCACAATTCCTATACTGGTCTTTATTTTTACATTATCTTTGCTGAAAAAGGGGAAAAAAGAACCTGCAGCATGCTTGAAACAATCAAATGAGCATCAGCTGCCCATGATAACAACCATTCTGACACCTCAAATTGTAAATCACTCCATTAGGAAAACATGTTTCAGCTGCAAATCCCATAATAAGAACCTTCTCTGTCTGTGCTGAATGATTCTGATAGATTGAGAGGCTTAGGAACAAAGCTTACCGAGGAACCAATATTCCCTGACTTATATTAAGTGTAATACAAAAAGGTCAGTTTTTGAACTGGATCCTTAAATGCAGCTTGCACAAATTCATATATAACCTCTCATTTGATAGGCCATTTTTCCCCAGTTATAGTGAGTAGTTTACATATGTTTCATTATACTCGGCAAAAGCAAATGAATCCTCTGCTCTTCACTGTTGTAAACTAAATCTGGAAAAAAATTCTTTGGAAAGACAGTGTACAAACTGTTAAAAATATATATAATTGTTTCAAATTGATCCTATATTTCCCAGCTGATTTTTAAAAGAATTAATTGAACATTAAAAAATATGGGAAGGATCTGATGCTTTGGTTTAATCCAAGCAAGTCTTTTTACCCTGTTTTTTTAAAAAGACATCCCCTTTTGAAATAAAAATGATATTGAACTTGTCTCTTTCCTCTTGTTTGCACTTTAAATTCTCAGACCAAATCTTATACTAATTCTAGCCTCATCCTTCTTTTCTATATAATTTCCTCACCAAATATCCTTTCTCAAGAGAGATTAATCTAAGGTTAGGTTGTAATAGTCCAACTTGAACAAACCTTTGAGTTTTCCAAAATGGGGAGTTGTTCATGTTTCTTTCTTCTGTTCCTTTTTTTATTTATTATTAAATTTAGTTTCCTTTTCCAAAGCATTTAATGCAGGAAGAAATTTAAACCATCTGTCAAACTGTTTTAAACTTATGCCTTACAATAGAGAATTAGATGGAGGTTTCAGCTGCTCCACTCTATCCCTTCTGGGGCTTCAGATGTTAGGATTCCTGATGTCAAAAACAGCCTGATCTGGAACATAATTCTAGTTCCTGGCAGCTTATACGCATGATGGTGAGAGATCTTTCTTGTTTTTTTCTTTAGTACTTGGTGTTTATTGGGATGCGTCTTCAGAATTCCTTTTTTATTAACCAAAGAAAGAGCGAAGAAGAGGAACAATAAAAAAGAGAGGAAGAAATAAAGCAAAATGACAAACAGCCAGCTAGCCTGTCAGATAAGGCAGATGAAGTCCATCTCTTTAGGAAGGACAGGGACTGTTTATCACATAAACAGAGAGTGTCTAATACCTTCCGTTTATTTGGGGGATAAAAATATTGCTTCTCCTCTTAAAATATGTCCATGTTGTTGGACCAAAGCTAAGAAAAGAAAGGACTGATGTAATTACCTGGAGTCTCAGATGAAAGGTTGCGGTTTTCAAGGAGAAAAAAAAGTATTAGACATTTTTACAGAAAATAAACTGATAAATATGTAAAAAAAAACAGAGGACTTTTTAAATTGTTTCTACATGCTATGTTAAAAGCCTCATTGTTTTTCTCCTCTCTTATTTCTATATGCAAGGTCAGAAACTGTATATACTTCAGCCTTTTATGCATAGCTCAGTTTGTGCCACATGATATTCTTTTGGGGTTAGAAATATAACTATAAAATCATGTTCCATCTATTTACACCAAACAATTAAATTTTATTGATGTGTGTGTGTGTGTGTGTGTGTACATCAGGGACATGGTGGCTCAGTGGTTAAGACACTGAGCTTGTCGATCAGAAAGGTCGGCAGTTCGACAGTTAGAATCCCTAGCACTGCATAATGGGGTAAGCTCCCGTTACTTGTCCCAGCTTCTGCCAACCTAGCAGTTTGAAAGCATGCAAAAATGTAAGTAGAAAAATGGGAACCACATTTAATGGGAAGATAACAGCATTCTGTATGCCTTTGGGATTTAGTCATGCTGACCACAGAGCCACAGAGACATTTTTGGACAGCGCTGGCTCTTCAGCTTTGAAACAGAGAAGAGCACCACCCCTAGAATCGGGAACAACTAGCACATATGTGCGAGGGGAACCTTTATATTTACCTTATGTGTATTCACACACACACAAACACACATGAAACCCTTCTTAAGGAGTTTAAATATTGATCAGGGCTTCATGCTTTCTTTTAATGGGACCTACTAATATATTAGCTTTCTGTAAAAATGTCTAATTTGTCATTAATCGTTAAAATGTGTAGTCAACACATCTTATGATGCATAGAAATGTTTCCAACTGTCTTAATATACTAATGTATGACATAAGTAAAGTATCCATCAATCTTGAGTGGAATCTTGTACTAACAAATTCTATAAATTAAAATTAGTGTATGTCCTGAATTTTTCAGTATATAAAAGGATGAATCTCAAGCCACAGGCTATTTCTCTGAATAAATGGGGCAAAAGGCTTAAACTGTAGTTTTGCCATCAGCCACATGAAAATACAATTTAGACATCATTATCCTGAGCAACAACTAAAAAGACATCATAAAATGAGCTTGAACATGTATAGATAACTATCAATGTTAGTTAACGATGACTTTCAACCTGCTGGGATTTACATGACAGCCTTTTCTTCTATTGCCCTTTTTGTGGTCACTTGTGAATCATGGCTGTGTGAGTCAGACATGGACACAATCACCATGGCAACTTGATTATGAGTTAGAAATATAAGCTGGCAAGTCAAGGTTATTTTTTTCCTAATGCTTTTCAGATGACCATTAGTTTTATAATTTAGTGTCTAGATTCTGAAGAAATATCTCTGTATCTGAATTCTATTTCCATTGCAAGACAAGCAGTTTTCTGTGTATGATTTTCTTCTGCCAAGGAACAATCTCCTTTGATAAAAGCTGACTGACAGGCGGATAAAACCTCCATCATACACGCACATTTTTCTTCTGTTCCCATAGAAAACATTGTGACATCATCTTTCTTTAATTCATGCATCTTAATATTGAAGTAGATAGCAGATAATGTAAAAGCAAAATACAGCATGCGATATGCAAGTGAGATTTAATCCCACAGCCATTAATACAACAGCTAGTTTGTTAAATATGATTGTTTATGCATCCTCTTTCTTTTCATTATTCACACAGATGCAGAATTCTTTTTCTCAAGTCCAGGCATTATCTCCCCCTGTTGCTCATACCAGCAAAATGCAGGAATCAGTAATATAAGAAAGGTGATGTGTTTCCATGCTATTCTTTTGCAACCTGACTTGAAGTAGACAGACATTATCTGAACTTTCTGCATGCTGTGCTTTTCCCCTTTCCCCTTCTGTCTTTTGCAACCAGGAAACACGTTTTTTTTCTCTTTTCTTTAACCCTGATTACTTTGAAGAAGTGATCCAGGCAGCTTCATGGCTTCTCAAGGTAAGTGCTGATATATAAAAGTATAAAAAGAAATAATACTCATATAGCAATCAGCAATATGATTAAATGGGAAGGTGAAAGTCCATTTTAATTTCTGCTCTGAATGGAGGTAGACTAGAATGGGATGTCGAGTATAATATATAAATTTGAATCTGCATATGTCTTCATAGGTATTTGATATTGATTATACTACACTGCCTGCTCTAGTCTGCAGGTATGTATCGGTGCTATTTATTCAACAAGAGGAAAACTCAGAAATGTCAGGCTTCCATTAAAAAAGGTTTGCATCCTTCAAGCACACTTCACCTGAGAAATCTCACGTCAGCAACTCCTGATCATTCTGAAAAATGCTTGAGAAAATTCCTGCTAACAAGATTCTAAAGGACAATTGAGTGCAATCAAACTGAAGGGTAGTTCATGCCATGTCTTCCCTTTAGTCTGAGACAGCTAACTTCTCATTAAAGGTGAAAATTGCAGCTTGGCTGAAAAGCCTTTCAAATCTCTCTCTCCCCCCCACCACCCTCCACCTTCTTCTTCTTCTTTTTTTAAAAAAAAAGAGTGTTACACTTAAAAATGAAGTCAAATTTCTGTCTTACACCTTGCAGCTTGTCTCTTTAAATAGCATGTGTGAAAATTTGGTAGAGGAGTTCTCTAGAAGTATTCACAAGTTCACTCCACTCTCTTCCCATCATGGAACAATCATAGATGAAATGCTTCATTAATGCAGTCTTCAAGCCTGCATGATTTTTGTTGCTTGCGCCGTGAAATCAAAATACTTTCATCTTGGCACTTTCTAGTTCCCTCAAAAAGGTAGTATTTGTGAAATGGAAAGAATTTGGTCAACCTCCTGGAGGAAAAAAATATATCCAAGTAGCTATTATAAAACACTCTGAGGAATGAATATTCTTATTTATGTGCTAAAACAAGAATTTCACTATGTAATATTTCAATTGTGTTAGCAAAATCAGGCTCCTAGCAGCTATCCCACACCAAATTATATATCAATTTTTAAAATGTTGATTAAATCACTTTATTTGCAGTTTAAAATATTTTAAGTGACTAGAAAGCAAAAGAAATAAGTTCTGCAGATTGAGAAAACAACACAAATTATGATTCAAAAGATCTTCATTTTTCCACTAATATTTCCAGTATTCCAAATTCTTGGTTTTGTGGAGTTAATTTAAGTCCAACTGAGAGGAAAGACTCCACTATGCTTGAACTTTTCACTAATAAAGCCTCCCAGTAGTTCATGTAACACAGGTTTTGGCAACAGCACAACCCAGTGAGGTAACATGATGCAGGAGGACCAATGAAATATTTACAATCCAGTTATGCATATTTAAAGAGAAAGAGAAATTCAAAGGGATTCTTTTCCCTTCCTGTGGTCTTAAGCCTTGAAGGAAAGCTGTGGTTGCAATAATAATTAAGATCCCAATACAATTACAGAGTGAAGGACCAATGCATGCATTCAAATAAAGAACTGTAAATTCATCTCAATCTATAACTGCAAGAAAGATGAATTTCACTGTTCAGTCCAGAATGAAAAAAGATCATCATCTAGGGTCTCTTCAGATGAGCTCTTGGCCTCTTTTTATTTTTAATTCAGGAAAAGTTTGAATTTAACAAATATTTATTTTATTTCTTTTAAAAAACACAAATATTTCATCATTCGTCAATCATTAAGACACTGAAGTACAATTTGTGTGTGTGTGTGCCCCTCCCTCCTCCACCCCCCAACCCCCCTCCTCCTCCCCCCCACCCGACTTCCCAGAACCCGTACACGGTATGGATTTTTAACTAACACAATCTAAAATCTATTGAGAAAGAAGAAATAAAGAAATTAATGACATTCTACATTGACCTTAGCTTCTTCTTACTGAACTAACTTTTAACAGTTTAAATCATTTCTGATCTTAAGCATAGGCTAACTGGAATTTCTTGGTCCCGTATTTATTTTGTGTATAGTCAATCCATTTTTTCCAGTCTCGTTTATATCTCTCATTTGAATGATCTTTAAGATATGCCGATATTTTAGCCATCTCGGCTAAGTTTGTGACTTTCAATGTCCATTCTTGGATTGTAGGCAAGTTTGAATGGCAACCAGAATATGAACTGTAAAAATTAGGTAAAATGTGACTCTTGGGTATATAATGATGTAGATGAGAGATTGGTAGCAAGAAACAAAAAGTTAAAGACTTTGTTACTTTAGACACAGATAATGCGTATGTAGGATTCTGACTAGTAGATGGTGATAGATTTACATATGCCTGCTGCTCCATATGTGGTCCTTTAAAAAGTGGACCACAGGTTCCTTCATGTTTCATTATTGATCATGCTGATGTAAAAAAATCAGAGCCAGTAATTATCATGGTATGATGACAGTGATGTAAATAGCTGATAACTGATTGATTTCATGGCTATGATGTGTTCTGTAAACAAGCCATAGAAATAGAGTGAGAATGAAAAACAACATATATGAATTCCTTTGGAGCATAGAGGGATTGTGCACGCTGGTAAGAATGTTAACTTCAGGATATCTTATATTGTCTTCTGTTGCTCCTACAGGTAGGGAAAGGGGACAGAAAAAAACCCTTTGTGATTCATTGTGTTACATGATTTACCAATTCTACTTCCACAGAATTTATATAAAATATGTTTATGCCATCCTTTATAAGTCTTTGAGGGAGATGGATGGTTATTGTATTTCTTGGAACATACATTTGTATCAGTGGTGGCTTCCGGATCCCATCGCAATCGGTACGCTGCAAGGGGGGTGAGCATCCACCACGTACATATGTGCTGCAAGCGCATGCGCATCCACTGCCTGCAATCCTCCAGCTGCTCAGCAGAGTGTTGCACAGGCGCCATATGCTCCGTGCACCTGCGCAAATGGCCTGGTTGGGTCAAATACAGATAAGGAGAGTGGGTGGGTGGGCCCTCGGGAAGAACCATACCGGAACGGTACATGGCGCTCCCAGCAGGCACCGGTATGCCAAGGTGGTGCAGTGGTTAGAGTGCAGTACTGCAGCCACTTCAGCTGACTGTTAGCTGCAGTTCGGCGGTTCAAATATCACCGGCTCAAGGTTGACTCAGCCTTCGATCCTTCCGAGGTGGGTAAAATGAGGACCCAGACTGTGGGGGCAATATGCTGACTCTGTAAACCGCTTAGAGAGAGCTGAAAGCCCTATGAAGCGGTATATAAGTCTAACTGCTATTGTTACCAGCTGTAACCCACCACTAATTTGTATGTAGGTTTATCTTAACAATAACAAATACTTTTATCAACATCATGTGGGTAAACTCCAAGGAAACAAATGTTGAGAATTCTCATTTTTCTGCACATTTTTTGTGACTCCAACTCTTAGTCCCTTGGTTCAAGACCTCCATAGAACAACTACGTGTATATGATCAGGCTACATGGTTTTACATTTAATGGTATATATAATTGTTAAAACGGGAACCCATTCTCATTCCTAACGTAAGCATTCTGTTTCATGCAAACGCTGCAGGCCCAGTTAATAAAACCATGCAAGATCGTCTTCCAGGTTCTCTGCACATGCCTGAAAAAGCAAAGCCTTCAGAAACAACCATAACCTGGAAACAAACCCGACTTCCATCTGGTTTTCCACCTGGTCTGGAATACTTAAGACAGGTCCTGTTCCCATTCCAAATAATAACTATAACGTTATAATGTATCCATTATGAGCTCCTGTTTTACAATGTATTTCATGTTAACAAAAGTAATTGTTATGCCTTTTGTATTTTTCTACCTATAGTACAGTGTTAAAATGAATATCCAGATTTGCTACTATACTTATTCCACTAGTATATTTTTTTTAAAAAAAATGGATGTGTTGTCTACAACAGGTGTCCCAACCCCTGGTTCACAGACCAATACCAGTCCAGGGCGGTAGTGGAATTAAAAAAAAAATACTACCAGTTCTGTGGGCATGGCTGTGTGGGCATGGCAGATACTGCAAAATCTCCATTCCCTCCCCACCCCACTAAGCTGCTCTCCAGCTCTGTTCTCCTGTTCAGGGCAATAAAAGAAGATCGGCTGGGAGGGCCATGGGCAGGGCCTGCCTATTTACCGGTTCTCCAAACTACTCAAAATTTTCTCTACCAATTCTCCGGAACCTGTCAGAAATGGCTGAATACCATCTCTAGTCCAGGGCCTATTGGGATGAGGTTCATACAAGTGAGGGTATGGCACATAAAACTCCATTTGCACATGTGTGAGATTAGGTTGTGCACCTGAAACTACCCTTTCTTCTGCCACCGCCATCACCACCACCGGTCTGTGGAGCCACAAAGGCTGCTCGACAACAATAGTCAGAAAAACACATTGTTATTAAAATATACACTTTAAGAAGAAGGGAGGATTTATTCCTACTTATTCAAATGGTTGTGTTTTTATAGTCCTGTATCTGTCTCCTATTACAGAAAACTTTTCTTGTTCTTCATCTTGAAAACTCCTAGCTCTAACCTTTATGAATGCACCACCAAGGTTTTTTTTTAACGTTTCTATGTCCCATTTGACTCAGAGTAATGAAAATAGGTGGAGTACCAGAATCTTGTAAATAACTGTAGTGGCTTACAAGTGAGACCAAACAAAATCTGCTGGTACACTTCCCAAAAAGATTTGTGTAGTTCAGCAGTGGTGTCCATCTCTCAATTATTTAATGATTGAAGGATTAAAACTATTTTAATCCTTAATCTATAAGAATTGAAAACCTGTAAAAGTTTTACAGTGTACTTATCACAGGCTCTTACAGAATGCTGACCCTTCCATTTACAATCTAGGATAAAATATAAGCAGTTTATGATTTAGCCTTTTCTTCCCCAAGTCTATGCTGATATTCACATAAGGGCAAATGTCTATGTTTTTATTTTTTGCAACATAAATGAATGGATTTAAAAGCTGCATCGTTATCATGACAACAAGCCTGCTTTCCAATACTTCCATAAATCCTGGCAGGATAAATGGAGATGTGAGGAGAATTGAGAGAAACCAGAAGTGAAGTGGTTAAACTGCAAAGAGAACTTGTTTTACATGTCAGTAGAAATAATAGATGAAGATGATGATCCAAGAGATGGGAAAACATATTGGCTGGGGAATTCTGGGAGTTGAAGTCTACAACACTTAAAGTTGCCAAGTTGGAGAGCCACTGATTTAAACAATATGTAAGCATTCCACTAGTGGACTAAAATGAATGTCTGGGAGTACTGCCTGTTTCTTTCAGGAATTTTGCAGATGGTTTATAAAATATGATCTGCAAATAAGCCCCTATATTCCATGGTGCTTTTCTCTTTATCGCTTTTAACTTTCCCCAGTAATGAGGAAAAAGACTGGAACAGGAATATTATTTTTTGGAATTTTTTTCATGGCAGCATATGGCTAAAATTGGATGAGAAACTGCTAGGGAACCCCAAAGCTGTAATCTAGGCTGGAAAGTCAATACAATTTCATGGAAGAAAGCAATAGCAAACAATTTTCCCATTTCTGCCAAGAAAATTGCATGGATATTGTTGTAGCTATTGGAGAAATGTCCTGTTACTGTTTTTTTGTATCTTTCAAATTGCAGAGATGTTTTATGTTCTCCAGAGTATTTTCTCTTCCCTCATGTCTTCTTCAAGCAAGGAAACAGCATCCCTGGAACATAACAACATTTCTTCTTTAATAAATATCGGGGATATGTCCATAATGCTGAAGTCCCAGAAGAGTAAATTATTAAAATTTGCCCAACAAAAGAGGCTAACATAATGTGAAATCCTTTCCTTTTGCTTATAAGGAAATAAAATGTGGCAATAATAATGAAGGACAGTTATCTTGCTACTTTATTTGTGCATATATGTATAGGTGTGTGCATGTGTGCATCTTCACATCAGAGTTGACTCCCCTGCTGTTTTCTTGCAAGGTTTTTCAGAAATGTTTTGCCACTGCCTTCTTCCTAGGCCAGAGGATGAGTGACTGGCCCAAGATCATCCAGTGAGATTTCATGCCAAAACCAGAATTAGAATTCACAGTCTCCCAGTTTTTAGCCTGGCGCCTTAATCACTATACCAATCACACTATGATTCATTTGCTTTTAGCTTAACCAATTGAATAAAGTCGGCCAAATGTGAGTTTGTAAACCTTGCTTTATGAAATCTGTGAATCCAGTCAACTGTGCATTTCTGAAGAAGCCATAGTATAATTTAAAAAGTCAATAGATCAAGAGGGAAAAAAGCGTCTAGCTATTGAAATTATAATTCATGTGGTAGTTGCCTAGTCTGGAAAAAATTCAGGAACAAATTTGAATGTTGCCAAACAAATCAAGCAGTTTTTCTAGCTAATGTATTAAAGTGATTAAAGAAAACTAAAACAAAACCCAAAGGGCATAAAGAACAGGTCAAGAAAAAAATGCATCAAAATGTCAAAGAAACTGTGATGTAACAGTTGTCAAAAGAGACAGTCTAATATTAGTTTACAACTGGATCTTACTGATTGGGCTGATGTTCTTATAAATAGTGAAGTAAATCTTGCACAATTGATGTTTGGCAATGTCAGTTGTTGATTCTGAAGCTCTTTTTTCTAATGAAGCAACATAACTATTTCCATGTTCTGTTCTTTGCAAAGTTTATGATGGAAGGGCAAAGGTTTAAGGAACTGTATGATTGTTATCCCATCTAACATTCTGCTCCAGGCTCAGATTTATAGAATGAAAGAGTCTAGTTTTGAAGTTTTCTACAAAGCACAACTTTTGATTTGCAGCTGGACCTAACTTGTGAAATCAAATTCAAATTATGAAACCTTAGAATGTCTGTCACACCATCACTGCAGTTTGATCTAAGACTCTGTGCCTAGCACTATCAAATTTGATCAAACACTTCCAAATACTCCATGAAAAGTGTTGGTAGAAATCCTGTTCAGTCATAACAGCATAGCAGACTCCAAAACCTTCTATCATTAAATAATGAGGGTTGGACTTGGATTTTTTTCCATATCTTGAGAGAATAAATTTGTTCAATGTCAAAAGTGTTTGTGTCAGTGACAGTGTTGTGAAAGATGTGTCTCTTCTTTCTGATTAAGTTTCTGGGTCTGAATAATAAGTTCCTCCCTCCTCCCATTAAATGTCACAGCCCTGTAAAAAAATGTGTTGCTTCTGAATGATCACTTGTTTTAGAGATCCACGAGTCATTTCAAGAACTGAAATTATTGTGTAATGCAAAATTTTACTTGCTTTCCAATTTAAATGGAAGAAAATCAATGTGTAATTCATCACTGCAGCATATTCTTGGTTTTTCTCCAAGAAGGTTTTCTTGGTGTAATATTGTTTCCTCTGGGAATTATAAGCATAATAAAGAGACTAGCTCTGCTCTTATTTATTTTTATAATCAGGCTGATCTTTATTAGAGTCCTCATTAGTATAGCTAGAGACTCAAGTGTCATGCTCACTACCACCGGCTAGTAATAATGTGGAGATAGAAGGAGGTTTTTTTTACTGTTTGACTCTACTTAATTTTAGGTGTTCCATTTTCACTTTCCTCACATCATATATGAGCAGAATTCTTATAGAAATGATGATGTATGTATGTATGTATGTATGTATGTATGTATGTATGTATGTATGTATCTATTTAGAGTTACAACCCCCGGTATGCCTAAATATGGGAGGAAGTTCACTACTTCCATTCTCTGTTCATCGGCTCATCACAAGAGACCATCCAGACAGAAACCCAATATTTTTACTGTTGCCTTTGTTACATTTTGTGTTGTATTTGTGCTGATAAATAATTTTATTTATTTATCATATTTATCAGCACATTTATTTATTTATCAGCACAAATACAACACAGATAGATAGATAGATAGATAGATAGATAGATAGATAGATAG